TTCAAATGAGGTTTTAGTTGCTTCAGTTTGTTTGAAGGTTCTTAGAGATCAAGTGATCATTTTGAGTTTTTGTTTTTGGTTGAATTTTTTTTTTGTTTTTTTTTGTTTTTTTTTTGTTTTGTTTTGTTTTTTTTTTATGTGTCCTGCTCTATTCACCCTCTCTTATATTTATAGGAAATCTTGGAGTAGGATTTCTAATCCTTTTAAAAATGGGCGGCAGATTTTCTGAAAAAGATCTTTTATTTTGAAACGCAAAAAAAAAAGGTTTTATCAATTCTGGCAGACAAGCCTTCCATAGTCGGTTCCTAAGGCAGTCATTTCCCTGTATTTCTTGAAAAAGAAACCTGACCCTTCTTTAATTTCAACCACTTTGTAAGAATTCAAACTGTGATGGTTAGTTTGATTTTCCATTTGAACAACTCCCTTCTTCCTACTTATCTCTACAATGTAGTATGCTTATCTCTTGGAAGCAGTGCCTTTCTTTGGAGTAGATTTTTCTCTGAGTATATATAAAAAAGGGATTCTGATCTTCTGGTTTGGCAGAGTTTTCAGAGATGTCCTTTTTATACCTGCCCTTATTAACTCCTTATCAATCCCAGTTGAAATGGCTGACTTTTCTCAAGTCAGGAGGTCACGTGGGTCTGTTTCTTTCCCGGGCTCATCTTTCTTTACTTTAAACATGCCAAACCCAATTTGGATTTCTTCGAAGCCCAAGTCATCCTCGTGGTGGGATAGGTTCTGGGCTGGGCTTTCTTGGATTTTTGGGCCCTTGATTTTAATTTAGATGCAAAGTTCAAACTGCTCGGGCCCTGAAGTTTTCTTTGTTAGTTCTGGGCCTCCAATGTTGGGCTAAGTGTGTCAAATTAGGCCCAAACAATTTCAACATAATGTAGGCAAGCAAAATTCGTCACATCATCTTGCTATGCAAAAGTGGATTAGCTTAAAAAAACTCATCTATTCATATTGAAAAAGTGGTAGATAAGCAATCAAACCAATAAGTGATGGACAATTGATTGTGACTTAGGACCACAATAGAGAGCATTAGGTATCTAGCAAATCAAGCATTGGATTTTTGAGGCCACGATGAATTCGTTAACTCATCTAATCGGCGCAATTTCATTGAAATAGTAAAGTCTTTTGCAGGAATGAATATAGAAGTTGAGAAAGTTATCCTAGATAAGGCTCCTCAAAATGCTCAGTACATATCCAATGACATACAAAAACAAATCTTGCATATTTTTGCTACCAAGGTAAGGAAGACAATTTGTAGAGAACTTGGGAAGATCAAATTTTGTATTCTTGTTGATGAATCCGGTAAAGAACAAATTACTATTATTCTAAGATTTGTTGATTGTGATAGATTTATTCGTGGGCGCTTTTTGATATTTTGAGTGTTGCAGACACTAATGCCTTGAATCTTCAAAATAAGATATGCAAAGTTCTTGGTAATAACGACATTCTAGTGGAGAAAACGCGTGGTCAAGGGTAAGACAGTGCTAGTAATATGCGTAGTTCATGGAATGGATTACAAGCATTGTTTCTTCAAGATTGTACATATGGATATTATGTGCATTACTTTGCTCATCGCTTGTAATTAGCATTAAATGGTGCAGCTAAAGATGTGAAAGTTGTATGGAGATTTTTTTTTTAATGTTGACTAACACTGTGAATTTTGTTAGTGCTTCTGCTAAGCGCCGTAATGAATTAAACTTAATTCGAAACACTGAACTCAAAGAGTTGTTGGATTATGGGGAACTTGAGACAGGTAAAAGATTTCATCAAGCTCGTACTTTGATAGAGCTAGAGCAACTCATTGGGGCTCTCATTTTGCCTCTATTACAAGTTTGATAAGTTTATTTAAAGAGACTAAATTACTTCTTCTAGAAATCAATGATCATGGACCTAACCAACAGTTTCGTGGTGATGCAGAGAGTAATTATATTTCTATGATGTCTTTTGAGTTCGTGTTTGTATTGGTTTTGATGGATAAAATTATAGGATTGACCAATTTTCTTTGTCAAACATTTCGGACTAAAATTCAAGACATTGTAAGTGCTTTAAATTTTATTGAAAACACAAAAATGCAACTTCAAGATATGGGGGAACATGGTTGGGATAATTTATTCACGAATTTCATTGAAATAGTAAAGTCTTTTGCAGGAATGAATATAGAAGTTGAGAAAGTTATCCTAGATAAGGCTCCTCAAAATGCTCAGTACATATCCAATGACATACAAAAACAAATCTTGCATATTTTTGCTACCAAGGTAAGGAAGACAATTTGTAGAGAACTTGGGAAGATCAAATTTTGTATTCTTGTTGATGAATCCGGTAAAGAACAAATTACTATTATTCTAAGATTTGTTGATTGTGATAGATTTATTCGTGGGCGCTTTTTGATATTTTGAGTGTTGCAGACACTAATGCCTTGAATCTTCAAAATAAGATATGCAAAGTTCTTGGTAATAACGACATTCTAGTGGAGAAAACGCGTGGTCAAGGGTAAGACAGTGCTAGTAATATGCGTAGTTCATGGAATGGATTACAAGCATTGTTTCTTCAAGATTGTACATATGGATATTATGTGCATTACTTTGCTCATCGCTTGTAATTAGCATTAAATGGTGCAGCTAAAGATGTGAAAGTTGTATGGAGATTTTTTTTTTAATGTTGACTAACACTGTGAATTTTGTTAGTGCTTCTGCTAAGCGCCGTAATGAATTAAACTTAATTCGAAACACTGAACTCAAAGAGTTGTTGGATTATGGGGAACTTGAGACAGGTAAAAGATTTCATCAAGCTCGTACTTTGATAGAGCTAGAGCAACTCATTGGGGCTCTCATTTTGCCTCTATTACAAGTTTGATAAGTTTATTTAAAGAGACTAAATTACTTCTTCTAGAAATCAATGATCATGGACCTAACCAACAGTTTCGTGGTGATGCAGAGAGTAATTATATTTCTATGATGTCTTTTGAGTTCGTGTTTGTATTGGTTTTGATGGATAAAATTATAGGATTGACCAATTTTCTTTGTCAAACATTTCGGACTAAAATTCAAGACATTGTAAGTGCTTTAAATTTTATTGAAAACACAAAAATGCAACTTCAAGATATGGGGGAACATGGTTGGGATAATTTATTCACGAGTGTGGTATCATTTTGTGAACTACATGGTGTTGATGTTCCTGATATGGGTGCTAGTTATATGACGGGTACACGTCGTTCTTATCGACAAAAAGATGTTATTACAATCGAGCATGCTTATCGCTTTGATGTATTTAATGATATTTTTAGATTGCATGTTGAGGGAGTTAAATGATAGATTTTCGGAGCAAACAGTTGAACTTCTTAACTTTAGCTCATCATTGGATCCTCGTAATTCCTTCAAGTTATTCAATATTAAGCATATATGTAAACTTGTCAAGAAATTCTATACTGTTGATTTCCTTCCACATGAGTTGAAAGCTTTAGAAACAGAGCTAATATATTTTCAAAATGATATACATTGCCTTCCTTGCTTTAAGGAAACAATTATTCTTCCTCAGGTATGTCAACAATTGGTGTAAACAACTTTGGCAGAAAACTATATTTTCATTGACAGGTTAATTCGGTTGGTGCTGACTCTTCAAGGTCGTCACTTCCCACACCAAAATCCATACAAATTCCTCTCCTCATATCTCATGTAAATAGTGGTTGCCATAGCAATGGGTGGGAATGCATCAAAAAATTGTTAGGGTAGTCACTATTCATGTGAATAGTGTTTATCTTTAGTTGCCTTTACCCTTTACCATGGCACAATGAGGTAAAACTACTCTTACGTAGACATAGCTTTCCATTCTTCTTCTTCCTCTTCTTTTTCTTCTTCTTCTTCTTCTTTTACTTTGATTTTTCATGTAATTTAATTTCTGAGCTTTTTTTTTTTCTTTAAATTCTTGTTTAGAATTAAGAATTATGGGTTTCTCTAGATAAGAAACTGGTATCTAATGTAGTATCAATTTCTTTAATGATTTAAAAAAAAAATCACAAGTGATAGTCTAAATTACAAAGAAGAGAGGAGTTCACACACACTATCAAGATGCCATAAGGGTTTAAACTTGAGACCATAGTCTAAAGCAACATCTTTACTGTATATACTTCTCTATCTTTTTTGCATTTTCTTTAGTTCGGTGTCTAATGTGGCAAAAAACATAAATGAAACAGAGATAACATTGTTTTGCTAACTCCGGCCAATCACGCTATGCCAAGTGGAAAAGTTATCACGTGTGGCATATCATGATTAGTTGAGAATAGCAAAACAATATTATCTCCGTTGCACACTGTTTCTCCTGATTTGGGGACAAGCAGGGAATCGGAGTATTGGAGGTTGAGTTTTTAAGTAAATTAGAAGTTGAGGTAGAAAAAGACTTGGGTTGTGAATGGAACAATGTTTGGTTTGATGAGATATTTTTCAGTTTATGAGTTAAAAGCTTGGAAGTAGCCACAACTTGGTTTTGCATGCAAGGTTGAAAAATTACCATTATAAGAACCCTCTCACTATAACTCCCATTCTAGCGTCTTAGTAGAAAACTCTTTGATCTATAGAAATTTTGAGAGAACATATTCGCTTGTGAAAATAGGCTTAAAAGTTCAGCTCACTGCATTTTTAAATTCTGAATCGTCTAAGTTAACGTTCCTCTTAACATAAGAGTGGACATTATTATCGAAAACCTAACCGAACCGACTGAACCGAACCGCCTAAGGTGGTTTGGTTCGGTTTGTATACTGAAAAAATCAAAGAACTGGTTAAAAAACCGCCCGAACCGGGTTGGACAGGTTTTAATTGCCTGCAAACCACCAAAAACCGGACCTGACTGATATTTTAATTATATTATTTAATTAAAAATATTACACGTGTCAAATGATGATTCGCTGAGTTTAACCCATTTCCTACTCTTTGCCACACTAGATCTAGCGAAACCCTAACATTTGAAAGGCTTCGATATTTGTTTTCCATTCCGTCTCCTCTTCTCCTCTTAGACCCACTCTCGACTCTTCTCCTCTCAGACTCAGTCTCGGTTATTCTCAATCACTCTCGCCCAGATTTCTCACCCGATCTCTCTGTCACTCTCTCTTTCCTCAACCGCTCTCTCTCTCAGCCGCTTTCTCGCAGTTTCACTCTCTCTCTCTCTCTCTCTCTCTCTCTCTCAGCCGCTCGTCTCAGTCACTCAGCCGCTCGTCTCAGTCACTCAACCGCTCTCGTCTCAATCACAAAATCACTGTCTCTCAATCACTCAACCGCTCTCTCAGCCACTCTCTCTTAGTCACTCAGCCGGTTTCGCTCTCTCTGAGTCATTCTCAGTCTCCCTCTCTCGATTTTTTTCTGTTTCAGGTATTAATTTATGTAAACCCTAATTAAAAAAATTTGGGATTTGATAATTTCTGTTAATTTATTTATTTTGTCTGACTGTTGTGTGATGATTTTTCTTGACAGAATTTATTTGTTGAAGGCTAAGGAAAGGATTGGCTTGCTTGCTGCCCTCCATTTGCACATATCTGGTAATTTTCTATATTTTTAGTTTCTGTTTTATTAGTTATTTTCTGTTGCTGTTTTGCTGTTTGATTTTTGGTTGCTGTCTTATTTTTTACTTTTGGTGGTTGTTTTTTCAGTTGCTGTTTGATTTATTTTTGTGGTTGTTGTTTGATTTTTGGTTGCTGTTTGGGGCAGAAGAAGTGATTTTGTAGGTGTGGTCATTATTACAGAAAATCAAATTTTGTTGTTTTGTTTTATTTGTTATTTTTTGTGGTAGTTTAATATTGAATTGATGTTAATGCTTATTGTGTTTTTTTTTTTTTTTTTGTTATTGAAGCATTAAATTTTTGTATTTTCGTAGGGTATTATTAATTGAATGGAAGGAGAATCTAAGCTCGTCTTTATATAACTAACTAACTTTCTTCTCCTATAAGTATTCTAACTAACACTCACGTGATAAACACGTGACTACTCTATCTCATCAACAATACTGTTAACATAGGAATCATTGTTTTCAGTTTCTTCTTCAACTTATGACTCTAGTAATGTTGGTTATATAATGATTTGGTCTTTTTAGTAGCTACTGCTCGTTTGTTTGTTGAATTCATTGTTCGGCTTGTGGTAATATGAATGAAATTATCATATATGAATTTGATTTGGCAAACCTTTTTAGGAATGGAACAAGGATAAACTAAGTGCCACACTAGCTATTTGATGAAATGCTCAACAGAACTCATTCATTTTCTTGGAAAAATCTCATTCCCAAAGGCACCTCTCTAGACATGTTTGGATATTACTTTGTTAATCGTTAAAAGTCTACGTGCAGGCTCATCAACGATGGTGAACGATTTATTGGAGAGGCATTTCATGGCATATTCTGAAGGGCGTGATTTCATGTTCTGCGACTTGTGCGGGACTACGCTAACATTGAGTTCAACTAAGCATGCTCAATGCCCCTTGTGCAAGCGTAAGATAAGTGTGAAAGGTATAGGAAACTTGAGCTTTTAGCCTTTCACGTTGACTTGCATGTTTAATCTGTTTTCAAGTTTTAGATTTTATTTCAAATGATTTATGGATAACTAAATCCTCTTTGTATGTAGCAATGCATGTGAATGCATGCATGTATTCCCATGTCAGCACATGTGTATTACTATATTTTAATTATATAAACTAATTCCAAATTGAATTTACTTTTTGGAATTGGTTTATATTCCAAATGTTATAGATGTTAATCATGTGTTGGTATTGGGCTTGTATTCTTCTGAGTAGTACCATTTGTGTTGCAAGTATTACTTCATAGTTTACAAACTTGTGCGGTACAACATTTGCCAAATTCATGGTGTTTGGATAGTTTGTTATGTATGACATAAATACTTTTTTCGTAGGTTTATAAATGACTCTTAAATATTAACCCTTAATATTTCCTCTTCTTACTTTTGTATATTTCTAAAATGATTACCATTGTCTTCAGAAATCTCCGGAAGACAAATATCTTACACAGCCACTGCTGAGGTATGACCATATTTCGTGACAAGTTCTTATGTCTTTCATAGCAGTTGCATTTGGTCGATATTATTATTAATTATGTACTTATGCAAAAGCTAATCCCCCACCCCCCCGGTTCTTATGTCTTTCATAGCGGTTGCATTTGGTCGATATTATTATTAATTATGTACTTATGCAAAAGCTACCCTCCCAACACACACATATATACATCTTATTGCCTAAGAAGAAAGTTCATAATCATTTTAATCTTAATCGATGTGTGCTTTTGTTTGTGTACTGACACACTTCCCCATTTTTTCCTTTTTCGGGGTGGGGAGAGATGGTGATGCTTGAATTGAGTTGTTTGTATCACCAAACCAAGGCATTACCCTATATGTGTCCTTGCAGGATATTAGAAGGGAGCTAGGCATATCAATAATTCGTGAAGAAAAAGTGCAATTGCGAAAGGTAGCTGCTTTTCAGTTTTCATTTAAGGTGTGGTATTTGTTTGGGAATCTACTTTTAATTTTTCTATACTATTTTTCCTCTTAACAGACAGATGCTAAAACATGTGAAAAATGTGGCCACAATGAGCATACATATTATTCCAGACAGGTATTCTACAAACACCCAATCATCTTCTTCTGCCTCTTATTCGTCCTGTCATCTAATTATCTTCTATGTTGCCTTCTTTTCTTTCTTTAATATCTTTCTATATAGATGCGATCAGCAGATGAAGGAGCAACTACTTTCTATGTGTGCACTAATTGCCAGCACCAGTTTACTGAGAATTGATATGTCAGGTTATATAATAGACTACGGGGATCAAAATGTATGCGTTATGTCACTAACAGAAAGCGTGTTCGTAATTGAGTGTTGCGTAGACATGTAGGATATTTAAGATTTCTCTGATATCAAATTTTAAAGTTGTACTGTACATAGGATTAGAATAGAGTGAGTCAAGAATCTTTATATCCTATTTTTGCACCAAATGTTAATTGCAAATTGTTTTCCTTGTGTGCTTTCTCTTCTGTCATGAAAGGAACGAGCTTGCCAAAGTGAAAAGAGCTTGTTTGCAGCATGATGTGGTAGCATATTAAGCAAAGTGATGGACTGTTTGTTATCCCATTGCTGCCAACCAATTATACTGCACAGGAATGTGCTGCAAGCCTTTTTGTGTTTCCCTGAGAGCAAATACAACCAATTAGTCCAATTACAACAATAAAAATCCTTAACTTGCTACATATTTTTAATTTTATAGCAACCATCCTAAAATCCAACATGTGAACAAACTTTAAAGTTTAATAACTAATATAGTTTACACCAAAAAAAAATAACTAATATAGTTTAACTCAAGATCATAAACTTCGAAATTTCATCAAACTTTAAAATGCATCTTTATCTAGATTCGTTTTAGGCTAAGTTACAAAAAATAAAAACCGCAATAAGAGTAAACCAAATCAGTCAATATAGTTTAAAGGGAGATTCACTATTATACTCAATATAGGTGCCTAAATTATAAAAATATCCCATATGAAATGGATTTTAGAAACATACTCAAAACTCATTTACAACATAACAAAGAGGCTTTTAACTTCTTATAAATTACAAAATTGCCATCAATTTCTTAAAACAAGCCCAACATCAAAATCTCATAAAAATACCCAAAATACTCAATAGAGCATTAAAGTAATTTAATAATCAATATTAAATTCAATAAAGCCGGCTGTCATTTTTTGGGTTTTTTTTGGGTTTGTTTATAGAAATGTAATGGTGTAGGGTTTATTTATAATATTAATGCTAAAAATGGGTATATCACTAAATATCTTTAATAATAAAGCCTGAAAAGAAATCTTTTTGAACTCTTAAGACACTGACACCCAATGGATGGCCAACATCTAATCGCATGCCACAAGTGATCCACCTCACCCTTAGCTCCCTAAAAAATTCTCCTATTCCCTTCCGGTCCACGACAACCAAATTTTTTCCATCACAGCACATATTCCCTCTCTCCAAAAAACTTATACCTCTCGCACAATAAGGCATTACATGAAACTGGAGTATCCAAGCTCACTTTAGATTCCCTAAACAGTTGACGAAACTACAACAGAGGTGATAACTGTTTTACTAGAATATTAAATAACATTGCTTCTTGAAAATCCTAATAATACACTTTGCTAAAGAAAACAGTTGGAAGAACATGATTTATTAATGAGAATAAAATGGTAATAAAACAGGACAATCAATTAAAATAACATTAAATATAAAACAGAGAAATTGAAAAGCAAGACAACCAACTCCCCGTTGTATTTCTTCAGCTGTTTCCAGCATATTTTTGGCATCCCCATTTCACCACGTCGCAGGAAGTTAAGCATGGAGAATGGATGAGCGGAAGATCAATTTACACAAGCAAGGTACAATAAAAAAGCTGGTGGGACTTAAGATGCATACTAAATTTCAAAACAACCTGGAAGCAAAATCCAAACTACGGCCCATCATTTTACCGAAGCTCAAAGGCTGAAGGTGATTCAATACTTTCAGCGGATGCTTAGAGAAAAAGCCTCTGGCCACGTGCAAAAGCACGAGCCAAAGGGCTAGTATTCATTTCGGCAGCAGCAAGCAAGTAGCAATGAGTGATACTTTACCTAAGAGCCATTGATTGTTAATTGTGATGCTTTCACTTACGTGCATTGTGTGTTTCTTGTCTTTCATCTCTCACTTCCAAATAAACAACACGCTTACCAGATAGTGGATACAGAATTTTCATACAGAGACTCAATAAGGAGTGATCAAGAAAAGACATGATAATCACTTCTGTATGAGAATTTAGGATTATTACCAGAAAAAGAAATCCAACACTTCCGTAAGAGAATTTAGGATTATTACCAGAAAAATAAATCCAATGGTTGCGAGAATCACTTGCAGTGTTTCGTCCATGATTCCAGCAAGGCCTTCATCCTCTGATCCAGAACCACCTGCACCATCACCGCCACTGCCTCTGCCACTGCCACCACCACTACCACCACCACCTCCTCTCTCTTCGTAAAATTCGTTCTTTTCAATCTGCTGACGTACTACATCCTCTATCGACCGGTCCTTCTTCAAATTACCCATTGCTTTCTCAAGAGCTTTCCAAGGGGAACCCTGGTTGCATTAAGAAGTGTAGTGAGAATATACAAGGCATGCATTGGATGATGACAAAGAAACTTGCAGAAATTAATGAGCATACATATATCTCATAAACAAGATATTCATCCCATAGCCAGGAAGAAAGATTGCAATTATGAAAAGGAAAACATGAGAGAAAAATGTAGGACTCTTTTGTTGTCATTACACATGCCACCTAACAAGCAGACAGGTGCAGATCGATGGTACTTGGATAAAACCCTGCATTGCTGGGCCTTCAAAACCGGCATCCGTTGTTTCCGAATGGATGCATTATTGGTTGGTTGCAAACAAGTTGGAAGAAGAAGAAGCTTTGGAGATGGACGGAGAGCTTGAGACGTGTTTCTGAAACAGATGCTAGGTTGGGAGGAAGTAATCTGAAAGGTACTCATCCTCCGTTGCTCTGTAAAATCTCACATGAAGCTCCAAAATCCAAAATTATCATCTTCCAAATGTCACTGAATATTACCCATGTAAATAAATTCATCAAAATGCATTAAAATGGGTCTAAATATACGAATTACAGAGCCATATAATTTAACAGACCCCATTACTAATATTATTATTTACACAACCAAATAAATAACCATTGCAACTGTCCTTTACTACTAACATAACCAGATAACAAAGGCAATAAACAATGGAAGAGAAAATGAAAAAGAAAACCAACCAAATTCAAATGTGAAAGAACAAAGAAGAGGTACCTTCTTGGCCCTTTGAGAGCAATCCACCGAGTGAAGTAAGAGTTTTTGGGATTTTGGTGACGACTGGAAAGTGCGGGATTAACTGTTTCACTGTGAGAGAGGGAGAGCGAACAAGAAAAACTGGAAGAGGAGGAACAAGGATTGAATTGAGTAGGAACAACTGAACAATTGCTTGGGTTCTAATAGTAATATGGACTCCGGAGGAGGGCAAAGTGTGAACAAAACTTTTAAGTCGGTTCGGCT